AGAGAGAGAGAGAGAGAGAGAGAGAAAAGGGAGGGGGCAAATGATGGTGAGAGGAGGTAAGGAGTGCATTTTAGTTCATATAACACTATCTACATGTAATACCCAGTTGAGTCATGATTTGATAACCTACCCCGCACTGATACATTATCATAGTAACCAATGTATATATTATTCCATCTTGATTTTATGGCATGTTGTGCGCATTTTATGAATTCATTCATTACATTACTCTTTCTTCCAGATTCAAGAATTTATTACCATCTAGTATAGATGATCAGATTATGCTGTATCTATGCTTTTAATAAGAAGATGATACAACCTCCTCTTACCGGCTCGGTCGTTTCGCTCAATCGCTTTTCGTCCAACCAGAGTCAGACGAATGATACTCTGCTACAATTATCGACATCTTCACACATTCCTCCGGTTTTAACATTTTTTTGAGGGTTTTCGTCTGATCTAATAAGTAAATGTTTTCAATTGTAGCTATATGAAGTTTCAAGTGAGGACCATGTATCGCATTATTTCAGCTAATTTGCATTTTGTGAACCAACACACACAGGAAACAGATATCGAAACTTTGGTTTTCTCCCCTCTCCCTCTCTTTCTCTCTTATCTCTCCGTTTCTCTCTTGTGTTCGATGATACTCAATATCGACAAGACACCTAGCCTTGAGCCTGCTTTTAAGTGGTTTTCGATCAGTGCAATGCGACCCACATTGTTCGGAGGCAAGATTGTGTTATAGAGTAATAAGGAAAACATGTGCCCAAGTAAAATTTGTGGAAGGGTTTATTCTCAACGCTGCAGAACATTGGGCTTCTTATTCCAATGTCCACCATGCAGTATCATCTTCGGGTCACTCGCAGATTTAACAAAATAAACAATGTATTAATTGTACTCATTTTGAAGAAAAAAATGTGGAACAGGGAGGGTAATATGTGGACTTGTTGCCTCCATTGATTCAATTATATGGAGAAAAAGGGTTTCCCCCGTTTCCCTGTAGCGTAATATCTCGAAAAACGTTATGTGTCGTACCAACATGTCCGCTTCATTACCCGTAATTTGTTTATAGGTAGGTTGAAAGGACGCAAACTACAAGTTTTATTTTTGCGATGACAAGATATTTGGTACATTGAAAGATAAAATATGAGAGGAGGATGGATTTGACGCCTGAAGCTTTTCCACATCAATTAGCAAACGAATAGCCCCAAAGCAATCGTATTTAATTTTATTAGGCGACGAAAAGTTAAGTGTGCCGAATCAAATTAGTCGAGAGCGCCCTGGTTCTTTGCTATAGAGATGTGCATCTTTTGTGAAGCATTCTATGAGTTGAGATTGGGTTGCCAACTGAACAGAAATGCACACGAAATGGAAGGTGATAGAATTATGGTAGCTGAAAAGAATGCACTGAAAAGGACGGAATATTAATTTTCTTCGATGTGCGTGTGTATGTGCGCGTGTATACAATAAGTGTGCGTGTACATGGGCCATGTTGGTGTGTGTTTTCATCAATTGTACAATCTATGTAATGAAAATGTTTTGAATTTATGTCAAGGAAAAACAACTGTATTTAATTACTAAAATTAATTTGTATTGTTTGGAATCAATAAAAAAAAACTATTGAAAAAAAATGTATCGTATACCGTGTGTGTGGGGGAGAGAAAGAGTGAGAGAAAGAAAGAAGAAAAGTAAATGAATTCAATTTGTTCTTGACGACGATTATCAGGTCTTTAATTTAATCAATTAAACAATGTTTGACCACCTTTTTTGTTCTCCTTATTTGTTGTTTACGCCGATTTGCTACCATCATAGTAACTCTATACTCAATAGTTTGGAGAGTTTCAACAATAAATAGAATTTGTAATTTATGCGGTTGCGAATGTTTACTACGATCCTTCACAAACCACTATAACGAAAGGAAGGGAGTCATTACTTCTCAACTTTATTTATTTTTATGTTTTATCTTTTTTATGATAATCAATAGTTCACGTAATAAAAACAGCTAACTATATGTTGTAAGTAAGATATTAATAATTTTGCTGACTGCCCCTTCAAAATACGTCATCTTGAAAACGTTATGAATCGTTTCATCAAAGAACTTTGACTATCAAATATCAATAAAGATGTCCGCAACAGGCAGCTAAACAAGTTCGATGCTAAACAAGATTAATTTGTTGCAATTAGGAATTATATAGATCAAATAGATATCAGCGCATGGGAGATTGTTCAGAGGAGATGGGTTCTAATCCATTTATGAAGCTCACCCGATAATGAATTGGAATCGTTCTAATGGGATAAATTGGGACACGGTAAAGGCGAGATTGACCCTAAATCGACGGTACTGTCATATTTGGTATCATATTCATGGTGAAAAGCAATCATTATGGAACGAGTGGTGATATAGGAGCTTTGGGTGTGAAAGACCAGAGAATGCTGGTATCTCCTTGGAAAGACCACTTATAATATTATTATCATGGTAGCAAAATCAGCCTTCCCCCTTTTGTCGCTGGGGGGTGGGGGGGGGTTGCAGTCAGAGCTCATGTGCAAACAAAATGAGTCTGAAATGCTCATAATCAAGTACCAAATAGTATTATTTATGAACCACGAGTCGTACTAGCATGATGTGTGTGCGTGTTTGCGTGTTTGCGTGTTTGCGTGTGTGTGGGTGTGCGTGTGTGTGTGTAAAAGTGTGAGTGCGTGGGTATAAGTGTAGTGAGTGTGTTTTGTGGGTGTGCGTATGTGGGGATATTTCTATACCCTCACTCCTTCTTTCGAAGTCTGAGGGTTTTCACATTAGAAATTGTGGTTTTGGTTGTGAATAATGATAACAGAACAATCGCTGTTGAAATTGTTATCAATTTAACATCGGTTAAATCTGTCTATAACACATTGAAGTTCGATATAACACGGAATGTTTCATCATAAAGAACATCCTCTTATGAAATCACGTGGTTCTTGCCAAGATTGAATCCATATGTTAATGTTTTATCGATAAGGTCTTGTATGAGAAAAGAATCCATAGCCTACTACAGATTTATGATGATAAATGATCCTGACATTCTCGTAAACAAGACGATTTTTGCGTTTTGTTCAAGATAAAATGGAAAATGGACTCGCACAGTATTTGACTTTTGGTAAATTAAGATCGAGGAATACCGTAAACTTCAATTATGAGCCTAGCCATAATGAAATCTCTTTGTATACCCACGATGCTCATCGAGATAAGGTTCACAAAAAGAAAGGATAGTTTTCCATGGTTTTAGTATGCATTGCCGGACCCCATGGATGTCATTAGGGGGGGGGGGGGGGGGGTTAATAACTAAATATTTCCTGGAAATTTTTCAAAATTTCTGTCAGCCTTCCCAATGTCACCTAGCCATGAAGAGCGAGGGGGGGGGGGGTGAGAAAAAAATTCTAGACATCTTTTCCCCATCTTTGTTCTTCTCAGAGAGGCAGGGGACTCACCCAACCTACTGTAGACTGAAAGCTACCATACCTGACAACTTAAGAAATAAAAAACCGATATTATGTAAAACATAATCTCCATAGTTCTGATAATCGTAGGAGGACAACGAGGGCGCCCACCATCATTATGCTTCCTGAGGAGATTAAACTTCCGATTAACATAATACGTGTTGTTCCTACTCCGAACACTTTGAAGAAAGTTCGACGTCCCCATACGCTATTACGTTATAGATTGATATGTTAACTTTTAGATTTGATTCTATCATGTTTCAGCGTTTGAATACACGAGGGTTCCATGCAATCTGTTAATCAACTATCCTGTCTGAGAAAGCACATTTTCCGTGTGTGCAGACTTTAACCCCCCCCCCTCCCCATCCCACGAGCATAACCCCTGACTTACAGTCTGATATATAAATTATTGAAATTAATTAGATTTTCTGTGTTTTGCACGAGGTTTGCAATTCACCATGGCCATTTTTCGACGTGGTCAATACCGTCGAATCTCGTCTGAGAAAGCTGTTACAATGTTTACTCATCCTGGGTGACAAATTTGCAGCGACTTAGATAAATCTTAATTTCTCACTAGATTGAAACGTGTTTTTCCGCACGTTCTGCCAATTATCAGCGACCGCCTTACGAATTTTACTCCCATTCTTTCATTAGTTCTACTTCACTGCTAACAATACTAGACTCATGTTGATGAGAATAGATGAACTTAGCAACGAAAACAGCTGACGCCATTTTTCTAAAATGACGTTTCAGTATTTCATAGAAATATAGATATATAATTCGGTACTTCAGAGAGGAGATAAATTGTATCTGTGCTGAGCAATTGAAATTCAGATTAAGAAAAAACACAATCTATAGGTCGGGATTATACTGAAGAGATTGATTGGTTTGGGGCCTAATTAGTATTTTGTCATATATATATTTATAAATATCCCACCAGAGAATGAATTCCTGGCTTTTGAGCAGGCTCTCTTCGCAAAAACCCACAAAACAATAACACATGGGACAAGACTGATGGCATCCATCTTACACCTCCGCGCTGACTCTACGTAAATCTTTGCTTCTCTGTAGTTACCAGAGTGAAAGAGATACTTTTATGCATATTCTGTTTAGGTTATGAGTGCCCTGCTAATATAGTTTTCATCTTAAAAGACTATCATGTGTTTGTTATTGAATATCTTTAATCTCATTTTGCTTAATTTTTAATCTCAGCTCGTCAGTTTTAGCGAAACATGATCATGCATGAATATGTTATTGACATCAAACTACATCCGTCCTGGTTTCCTTGCATTTGATAAAGTTTGGTGAAAGTATTTTGATTAATATGATATATTCTGTTTAAACAATCATCAGTCATCTTTTATTTCTTCCTGTTGACCCGATTTACTGAACTGGCAAAGTGACGCTCGATCAGAAACAGTTTACTTTCTTGCCTGATCCAGGTGACTTTCCCAGCAACCAAGTAATTGACGGGAACATTAACCAACTCCTGATAATCAACTTTCCTTATTTTTCAATTGTTTTTGCAGACGATACGACAAGCCGCGTGTCTAACACTCGCCTACTTAGCCTTTGATCGATATCGACTCATCATTCATCCAACATCGTCAGTGCGATCGCGATCACCTCCTTATGTGCTATCTGTCTTGGCTGTTATATGGTTAGGTAAGATCTCATCGGTATGAGATGGTGCATCGCTTTGGCATTGATGAAGTGATAATGAGCAAATAGGAAGGTCGGAATTTGTTTTTAAAGGGTGTATGCATCATTTAAGTCTTGGTTACCTATATAGCAGTGTCAACTTCTTAAAAGGGTGCTACATTATTGGCGTATTTTGTTTGTTCGCAGGTTTAATCCGGAAAGTCCACTCTCTTTCAAAATGTTTTTGGGACGTCCTTGGTAACCTAGGAGTAACAAATATTTTGTAGGATGCAACCTTTTCTTCGTTTAAGTTCTTAATTTGTTGCTGTCGTTATTCAAGAGATGATTCCGTCGAGAATCGAATAAACCTGATCATAATCTATTTGTATGCCTATACAATATATACGGGGAAAACGAATTGCTATTACTATATTTAGCCTCAGATGTCATAATAGAGGAGTCGTAATTCTCTTAAATTCAAGAGATTTATGATCGAGGACTGCTAAATCTTGATCGAAATTGAAGGCATATATCAATGCCTTAATTTCAAGTATGAGATTGTATTAGAAATGCAGCAAACAAAGGGACTGGATTTGTTCATTGTAACAATATATCATATAGAATGGGAGAATTACACTGTATCCTCGTTATAACATAGTTTTTACCATGTAGGATTCTGGCCAGGGTATAGGGTATGTAGGATTTAGACAAATGTATTGGGAATCTGTAACGGAACTTTGAGAAGCAATCTAGGCACAACCTTTGATACCTTATTCAACCTTTACCACCTTCTTACCCCGCTTTCTTTCCAGTGTCCAGCATCGTCCAGCTTCCCACCGCCATCTTGACTGGTCTGGATGGAGACGGGAGATGTCGTGAATACCGTCCAAGTCGAGGAGGAGGATGGTATTACTGGGTAAAAGTTCTTACGATCTACATTATCCCATTAACTGTCATTATAGTCTCTTATTTCAAGATATGGCGTCGTTTAAACGCGCCTGGGGCGCCGCATTCCAGGGGTAGTATTAAGATGCGCACCTTTCGGAAGCGAAGCGCTCGTCGCATTCTCGTCATCATCATTTTCTTCGCAGTCACGTGGGTGCCCATCTTCGCTGTTCACATATGGCCCCATTACGATCCGAATATCACTGAGGATACGCCACACTACGGGTATGTGCATCGTCTGACAAACTTTGTGCTATATGTGAGCATGATGATGAATCCCTTCCTTTACGCATTTGCTGGAGAAGGGTTTAAGAAGCACTTCAGGACGTTTGCAGGACGTGCAGTAACATCATCGGTCGTTCTTGATCAGGAACGCACGCCTGATGTAAAAGGAACATTTCAGGAATCAACACTCCGGAGAGAAAAATAGAGTAGATAACTAATCCATCGTCTTTGGATACCGCTACGATTAAGCAATTATTTGAACGTTCTACTAGAAGAGTTTATGTTTTCTAGTTCTAAAATATCACCATTGACCTTCGTTAGAAGCAAGTGATATTTTGAGCCACAGGTAGTTGTTTGACATTTGATTTTTCGGAGAACTATAATTATTCGGATTATTCGACCATACTAACTTTGAAATATCGATATATGCACACTAATGAATACGTTTGAAATGAATTAGCCTTAATTCGCAAGGTGGCAGTGAACTACAAAGAGAAGTCTAAAAACTAAAATGCATTGAGCTAAGAAGAAGAAACTTGAAAGGGATAAGGGAAGAATTAAAGGAAAAGTAGGTCAAGGGATGTTCAGGTATTTCACTCGAGCAATTACAAGAGATATATTCGGATGAAACGTATTAGCCTTAGCTTAAAATTGTGCCTGAAGGAAAATGCAGCAAAAATTTTGCCATGAAAGAGACAAACGACGATAGATGACAGATATCATCTAAAGAGGAAGGAATGAAAAAATAAGATAAAGAAATAACTTTGAGCAAGGTAACTGGAAGCAGACGAATTAGAGAATAAGATTGTGAAGTATCCATTCGAAGTTAGGAAGCTTGATAAATGAGGCTTCCATATAGTGCTGATGATGATGATGAGGAGGAGGAGGAGGTTGGTGATGATGATGATAATGAAAATGATGTGATGATGATGGTGATAGTGATGATGATGAGGAAGTTGATGATGACTATGATGTTGACAGTGATGCTGGTTATGATGATGATATTGTTGGGTGGTGATAATGATGGTGATGATGAGGATGATGATGATGATGATGATGATGATGATAATGATGGTGATATTGATGGTAATAATGATAATGATGTGATGATGGTGATAGTGATGGTGATGATGAAGATAATGATGATGATGAAGATGATGATAATGATGATGATGAAGTCGATGATGACGATGATGATGATGTGATGACGGTGATGGTGGCCATGATGATGATGAAATCGATGATGACGATTATGATGATGATGATGATGATAATGATGATGGTGATAGTGATGATGACGATGATGTTGACAGCGATGATGGTTATGATGATGATACAGTTGGATGGTGATAATGATGGGGATAGTGATGATGATGATGATGAAGATGATGGTGATGATGATGATGATGATGATGATGGTGATAATGATAATGATGTGATGATGATTATGATGGTGATGATGATGAGGAGGATAGTGATGATGATGATGATGATGATTGTAATAATGATAATGATGTGATGATGGTTATGATGGTGATGATGATGATGGTCATGGTGATAATGGCGATGATGAAGATGATGATGATAGTGATGATGGTCATGATGATGATGATGATGACATTCACCTCCGTAGCTATTTCACTGATTTTTTTTCTTCTTTGTTCCTATCTCGTTTTATATGATGATATACATTGTTACATTTGATAACTCGTATCATTTTTTATCAGGGATAAAGCAAAGTACGGGTCTTTCAAACCTTTTTGCAGCATCCCGGACATGTTTGGTTTTACTGAATGTCTGAATAAATACAATACAATACAATGATGGTGGTGGTTGTAATGATGATGATGACGGTGGTTGTAATGGTGATGATGATGACGATGATTGTGATGATGGTGTGATGTTATGCTGCTGATGATGATGATGGTAACTGATATCATTTTTTATCAGGGATGAAGCCACGTACGGGTCTTTCAAACCTTTTTGCAGCATCCCCGGACATGTTTGGTTTTACTGAATGTCTGAATAAATACAATACAATGACGGTGGCGGTGATGATGATGGCGGTGGTTGTAATGATGATGATGATGACGATGATTGTGATGATGATGTTATGCTGATGAAGATGATGATGGTAATGGTGATTATCATGGCAATAATGGTGATGGTGACGATGATAATAATAATGATGATGATGATGGTGAGGATTATGATAATGAGGATAATGACGATGATTGTGATGATGATGATCATGTTATGCTGATGAAGATGATGATGGTAATGATGATTATCATGGCAATAATGGTGATGGTGATGATGATAATAATGATGATAATGATGGTGATGATGATAATAATGATAATGACGATGATTGTGATGATGATGATGATATTATGCTGATGAAGATGATGATGGTAATGACGATGATTGTGATGATGATGATAATGACGATGATTGTGATGATGATGATGATATTATGCTGATGAAGATGATGATGGTAATGATGATTTATCATGGCAATGGTGGTGATGGTGATGATGATCATAATGATGATAATGATGATGATAATTGCTATAATGATGGTGATGATGATGATGATAAGGATGATTATTAGGATGGTGATGAAGATGATACAGTTTGATCACAACTCCCATTCGCTATTGATAATAAGGAGCCGAATTAGAGGTGTAGTGGTATCTAGAGACTGTGAATCACAAAGTACGGGGTTCGAATCCTTGTCGCAGCACTAACGTCCATTGACAAGACATAAATCTACATTTGCCGCACTTCCAAATGCACTAAGCCTTACGGTTACCCAAGCTTAATCTGGGGCAATTGTATCCAAGTCCTTTTGAAGCGCATAGAGACGTTGTTTCAAACTTAGATATGCGCTATACAAAATCGGATTATTTAATAGAATTCACTTAATAAATGCACATTAATGACTTTCCTTCAGGAGCCGGTGGGCTATTAAAGGTACCAAACACATTCTTTAAAACAAATGATATTATGAAATATGAAAAATATCGAATCTCTGTCGCTCCATAATACCGTGGGAAGTAGAACAAGACGTTATCCAGGTTCCTTTGATTACCAAAGAGTACCCTAGTTTAATGGGCTATCCATGGGCTTTCTAAAAAGAGCTCTCGTATCACTTTTGAGGCATTACTTTTCTAAGGATGAATTATATATATATTTGTGATAATGTAATGTGGTTAAATAGTGGTTTATTGTCGTCAACATAATATTCATGTTTTGCCTTATGATATTATGTATCTTATGTATACACAATTATGTATGTTTCCATTGTTGAAGAGAATTCTCGTTCAAAATCACGAGATGTTAAAACAGTAATGTGACTTAAATTTACATAATTAAGAAAAGAAAAGAAGAATGTCATCCTTAATTTAAAATACAATGATCATTACCCCCTCTCTCTTTCTCTTTTCTCTCTCTCTCTCTCTCTCTCTCTCTCTCTCTCTCTCTTTCTCTCTTTCTCAAATCATACTCGGGGAAAATAAACTTCCACGCACATTTTAAAAGTCCCATATATCAAGGGTTGTATAATTAGATTCGTCGCCCAGCTCTTTGAAGATAACCAAAGAGAATTAGGAATTCGTTCTTTTTAATGAAAATACGTTGCATCGAATTTATTTCAAGCATCGTCCTCATCTCTGACGCACAGTGAAGATCCTTTTGAACTCGTAAGCCTATACTAATTACGTTTACGTCTTTTGAAATGAAAACAATTATTCAAGGAGATTAACCAAGATATGTCAAATTTACGCTTTAATTGTGTTTACGTAATGTGAATTGTCTGTGTATCTTTCGTACACTATTTGGATGTGAACGATTAATTTGATGGAAGATGCCGAAATCTTTGCTATATAATTATTGTATACATATTTTGTCAATTAAAATTTGAATGAATTAAATACTTTGAATATTTATCAATTAGGACTTTCTTGATTCACTTCGTTTTATGTTCAGCGTTCATTCTATTCCTTTATGTTGAATTTACAAAATAAGCATGTAAGATACAGAAGGTCTTAAACAATAATATCTTAGCCAGTCCTCAAGTTCTGTTTTTCATCATTAAAACATGACCTATTCTTAATTTGTAAACAATAAAGCAACAGCAAAAACAAGTAGACAAATGATCAAACACAAAAAATGATAACAGCATGTCATAATGTAAATTAGAGTTTCACAAATAGCAACAAAATATTTATCCATTTATTTATGTTCCACACACTCTGTATACTCTGTATAGATTCGTTGAGAAAATCATTTTTACCATCCTTATTGTTTTGTTTCGACTTTTATTTTCATGTGTATATTTGAAATCCAACTTTTCGGTTGGATTAGAGTAAATGAATGAATGAATGAATAAATGAATAAATGAATGAATGCATGAATGACTGACTAAATGAATGAATGAATGACTGACTAAATTAATGAATAAATGTAATTAATAATAATAATAATAGTAATAATATTTAATTTTTATATAGCGCTTATTACAAATGTCTCTAAGCGCTTTACAAATATAAATGAATGAATGAATGAATAAATGAATGGATGAATGCTTAATTAAATAAACAAAGAAATACATGAAGAAACACAGAAATACATAAATAAACTTAACTGCATAATGCAGTTAAGGTTACGGATTTATGGGGAATTTTTGTATACATGTCACCAACTGATGGCCATGGATGGGCGTGGCAGAGACTAACATCACACACACATCCAAACAAACACAGCAAATATCTCTCTCTCTCTCTCTCTCTCTCTCCCTCTCCCTCCCTTCACTTTGTTCTAAGAGTTCATCTAAAGAACCAAGTAAGATTAATATTGGCAGTTTAAAAATTTAATCTGAACTTCACGAAATACCAGAAAAACTAGTACTGGAGTTCAAATAATTGGAAACGATCCGATAATCTATTTTTTTCCTTTCGAAGGAACTCATTTTTATTAGTTATTAAAGGATATTTCATGTTTTTATAATCAACATTGCATTTCCAAAACCGCTTTTCTTTCTCATATAGATTAATATTTATAGATTTCTTTTTTAAACCAAGCATACCTTCGACAGTTCCATCGGTCATGAATTATTGATGATGTGGGACTTTTCGATTACTATTCTCGCAAAACTTGTTATCATCCCAAAACTTGTTTTGAAACAATCTTTCATTTTTTAAATTCGTTCGACCGTATATCTCTTTGACCAATACAGTCTGTTTTCAATATGTTGTCAATGTTATGAAACACCTATTTTAAATATTTGGGGGTCTTGTACCCCTTGAAAGCTATAGTGTGATACCATGAAATCCTCACAAACCCGTTAAAAAAAAATCGATTTATCCAGCCACGATCGTTTACTATGCATGCTTTGTACGTCATAAAAGCTAATTCAAATTAATAAACAATAATAATTGAAACAAATTACATGTAGCCCTATATTGCTTGCAGGGGAATATCTAGAAAGGATGTGACACTTGAAATATTGCCGCCCTCCCCCTAACCAAAATAAAAATTAAAAAATTGGATGCCATTTTACTAATCTGTAAGCAAAGTGGGCCATATACCCCTACTTCCGAAAAGTCTGTCGACTCCCCTAAATGTTAGCCTTGTTGACTCTCCTCGTCGCCTCCATTCCCCCTGGACAATCTGCAGTCTTTCATCAATGGCCAATCCTCGAGGTTTCCATTGGTATCATAGTTCATCAGGGGCCAATTAGCCCAAATAAATAATCATCTCTCTTCTAAAGAAGAGCACAAAGCTGAACTCGACATCAGACGTCAGCGTTTCGTTATGTCCATGGCGACATTAACCACATTTATTAATGGTTTGAAGGACCTTTCTCAATGTGTGCATGACTT